TTAATATTTCTTTTCCCAAAATTGTTGGCGAGCGGGGAGTGAAAGAGGAAACGGTTTTCGGACATCCCATTTTTCACTAACTTTCGAACTAATGTACCGTAATTTGTATAATTTCATAGTAATATTTTCGTAAATTTATCAAAAATTTTGCTACAACTACTACTTTTACTTTTCAATAAATTATGTAACATTTTTTGCTGAATTACATATTTTTTGCCCAACGAGCTGGTCCTAACCACCCTAACCTAGCGGGCTGTTCCACACCTGGAAAGCGGGCTGTTTGAAAACAAACATGGCGGGCAGCAATAGGAGCGAGCGCTCGCAGAAAGAACTTTAATTTGTTTATTACAAGGTTGTGAAGGCCATAAAACTATTGTTGAACTACGGAACGAATCATTTGCTGAAGGAATAATATCCCAAGTTGATGGCTACATGAATGTTAACATGAAAGACGTACATTTTACTAGGCAAGGCTCAAACACGCTGCACTTGGAAGAACTGTTTATTCAAGCGAAGCAGATACGTTTTGTACATATTCCGGATGAAATTAGTATGAGAGAAGCAATTGAAGGGCAGTTGAAAACACTGAAAAATTCTCGAGTCCCAATGACTAAGAAATTCCAGAAAGGGAAAAAATATATCCAATAGTGTACACTGTACACTGTGTACAGGCAGTACAGCATATTTATAATTTATTAAAATATGTATTTTATATTAATTGCACGATGATGTAATGATGTATACCACAAAACCAGTAGAGACGAGCCACTAATCGTTATTTACTGGTTTTGGTCGATGATCAGTAATAGCTAAGAGTTGAAATCATCAATTTTTTTTCTCATCTCACTATCTACAGATTATTGCGAATAAAGGGACCCTGAATTGAAATCTTGGACATTCGGGGCGCGATTTTGAAAAGTTTGCTTTCTCTACACATTTCATTTGACTGGAATTTTTTGCTGCAGTGTCAGTACAGTGAGAATGTTTCACGACATTCCAGAGCTGATCAATACCAAATACGAATGAATTGATAATTGCAACTTTATGGGAAAATAGGCCACAAACTGTTAACATACGTACATTTTTTTATTTCGCATCCCCTTGTGAGACTTTTGAGCATAATAGTTACATATAACTTATACTATAATTCGGCTCTAAGTAATTAAAATAAACAAAATTAATACAATTTATTTAACATTTCTATAGCACAAATTTGCATGTGAATATGATAAAATGCGCTTTATATTAAGTATTATATATGCTTACACCTAATTACATACTTAGCCTATAGACTATATTATTATCTTTTACAACAATTGTGATATTTATACTTTCTTAACTATGTTTAACCCACCCTGTCAATTTTCCTTGTGGGAGGAAACCGGAGCACCCTGGAGAAAACTGACGGCGATGCGATGCTCGATGATGCCATGCTCCAGATAGAGACATAAATGAGTTAAAAGGAGGAATTGCTCGCATCATCGATGATTGTGAAAAGTTCGGCAAGAAAATACTAACTAAGAAGAAATTACCATTTAAACGACCGGCAAAATATGTTGTTATCACACCCACCGACAAAACAAAGCGTCTAATCGCATTTAGATTCTGAATGCTATGATGACATGGTCAGTAAATCTACTATAGATACAGGTAACTATAAGCTTTTGAAAAGACGAAATTTACCCTGCAGAATAGAACAGAACAGATAAGTTTTAACAAGGTCCTGAATAAAGCAGATTTCATTGAATTCATTAACAATCTAGATTGCAGTTCTATTCATGGGTTTTGCAGTCTTGATGTATGTAATCTGTATGGGTCGATGCCCCTGGATGATTTTAACGAAAACACACCTAGTGTATTTACGGTGCATGGCCAAACGTTTCTTTTATGAAGTTCAACATAAAAAGATTGTGAGGTACGTGCCATAGAAGACGAGGATTTCGAGACATTAGTTCGTTTATGTTTGACGAGCGATAGCGTATTGGCGGTGAAAGTTACAAGCAAAAGTATGCAGGCGATAATCTAGTTTCACTCCACTGACCCCCCCCCCCAAATGCAGCCTGGTTATTGATATGGATGGATTTCGTAGGCCCGCATATTTCCCACCGGAGAAAACCTGTTGGCGCTAGTCGACTATTATAATCGATATTTCGAAGTGGATATCATGAAGCACATCACGACTGCCGCCCTGGAACCGCGCCTTCGTCGAATTTTTGCACGCTACGGAGTACTCCAGAAAATTGTCACGGACAATGCCAAAAATTTCTGGTCATCCAGGTTCTCTAACCTTATGAGAGAATTTGGTATCAAGCACAAAAAATAACTCCCCGGCATATCCACAGATGGCGAAGCAGAACGCCTAAATCGCAGTATCAACAAAGTGGTAAAAACCGCAATAGCCGAGTCACGGGATTGGCATAAGGCTATCGACGACTGGCTGTTGGCCTATCGTACCACACTCCATACGATCACAGCCAGCCACCAGCAGCCATGATGTTCGGACGAAACGTCAACGACAAGCTTTCATCAGTACTACAGCCGTCAGCGCCGATAAAGATCAACCGTATGTCATACCGACAGCACGATGCCAAGAACAAGCAAAAGAGGAAGTGCTACCACAACATAAAGAAGAAAGTGCAGCCCTGCTCAATTAAAGTCGGCGATCATGTTCTTATCCGTTCGAAAAAGAAAGGCAAAGTAGCAAACCACATCCTAAACCAATTAAGCACTTTATACGCCACTATTCGCGAACCGCCATGAATGCTTTTGGCCGTTGGGCCAGTACACATCAATGGTTCAATGATCTTGGTCCAAGTTCTTCTGTAGATGACCTTGCAGTAACTACTTTTTATCCCAGGTATCTACAGCATTCGACAGTCTTATTCCATTATTCCAAGATTTTGCCCATGGATGTCTGTGTCTATCAAAAAACCTATTAATGACCGTCAAAGTCTGCTCAAAGAGCTTTTCATGGTATTCCAGTGGAGGACATGTATTAGATCCAGGCCGAAATAGCCTTAAGAAAGAAAGAATATTACAGAAATAAAGTACAACATATTTAGAAGGACGATTGTGGAAAGCGGTGACTGGTCGTAAATAAGATGTCTGGCCGATCTCAGAAGGATACAAAGCTTGCCTTTGAAAAAGATGATAAATTATTATCGGATTTGGAACTGGCCAATAGCTTGAACAAGGTTTACATCTCTGTTAACTGTGAGAAACTATTGGCCGTTAACCCCTCTAAAACATGTGGTCCTGATAATATTCCAGGTCGCCTCTTGAAGGAATTTGCTCACCTATTTGCTGAACCAGTTGCGAACATTTTCAATACGTCACTTTCATCCGGGATTGTTTCAAATATATGGAAAGACTCATATATTACTCTCGAGCTCATTCCAAAAATCAAGCAACCTACTGACGAGGCTGATACAAGACCTATATCACTAACGGCATGCCTTTCTAAAGTTCTCGAAGATTTCGTCGTTCAATGGATGATCTCTTTAAAGTGTTCATCCACCACCTATTGCCTGCTTGATATGTTGCATTCTTGGCTCTCGCATTTGGATTCTCCTGGTCATTGCCTTCGTATATGCTTTTTGAATTTGTCTAAAGCTTTCGACCGTATTGACCAGAATGTTCTCATTCAAAAACGTCGACATCGGAGTTAGGAGATCTTTAATCCCGTGGATTGTAAATTTCTAGTTAGCTTCTTGTTAAAGCCGGTGTCCCCCAAGGAACAAAGTTGGGTCCGGATTCTGTTCTTAATTATGGTCAGGGCCTTTCTCATCACTGGGGGCAATTTGCCCCGGGCCCCCAGTTTAAGGGGGGCCCCCAATTTTGCAAAAACTAAAAAAAATAATTTCGAACGTTTTTTGATATAAATAATGGTATGAGAAAAAATTTCAAAACCAAAATTTTACGTTTATTGATCGAAAAAAAGGGTTTGACTCATGTTGTAATAGGAATTTTTCCGGAAAAAATTTTTTTGAACCTTAGTTTAGCAAATGTTCGACCATAAAAATTTTTTGACCCTTTTTCAATGTCCGAAAAAAAAGCTCCCCAACATTTTCCGCTCGCCAACATTTTCGGGAAAAACAGGGCCCCCGAAACAAAAGTTTGCCCCGGGTCCCCGAATTTCTCTGATAGGCCCTGATTATGGTCAATGATTTACAATGCAGTTAAGGGAAATCTGCATATGGAAATTCCTTGATGATGTTACCCTCTCTGAAGGACTATTAAGAAAATGTGGAGCCGTCAGTAATCCATGCAGTCCTATCTAACTTTATTGGTGCATGGGCATCTAATAACCTGATGAAATTAAACGCAAAGAAATGCAAAGAGCAAATGCGGAACAAATCTGATCTGCCATGTCTGTGTGTCGGAGATCAGGTTTGGAATTTGTATCATCGCACAAAGTTCTTGGTTTGATTATCCAGGAAGATTTTACGTGGAACGAGCATGTTGCGATAATTGTTACCAAAGCATCCAAGCGACTACATACCCTGCGTGTTCTGCGGTGGGGAGGGATACCACCGCACGACCTTATCACAATTTACTACGCATTGATTAGATGTGTGGTCTGCCTAGGTATTTGTCTGAACAAGTTGAGAAAATTCAAAAACGTGCACTGAGGATTATACTGCCAGGCCGTTCTTACAGTGAAGCACAAGAAATGTTGCAGTGCAAGGGCTGCTTGGATATACGTCGACGTGAACTTAGTGAGAAAACAATTATACGTTTGGCGATCGCTTATCGTCTCATCTAACCCTCACGAGGGAGAACGAATATAGGCATAACGTAAGAAAGTTTGAACAATTCTCTTCTTTTAAATGTAGAACTGATAGGTTCGGTAACAGTTTTTCCCCTAGCATGATTAATGTCTTAAACAAATAATTGTTCTTAGTTACATAGTTTTTAATCTTAATCATACATTGTAATATAGTTAGATTTTGTTATTGGGAACGAGGTTGGGGTAAATCCCCCAGTAGTTATATAGTTAAAAAATGCCCTGAATGGCTTTGAGGTTCATTATCTAACATCTGTAGTAATTGCCTTCCCAGTACATTACTCCACTGATTTTCAGTTCCGACTTGGGTGCTAAGAATTCCTACTTCGTTTTACGCCTTTGCAGAAATCTTCGTCAGCTTAATTTTACGCCTTGAGCGCCAGGTTTTGGGAATTTTTACGTCAAGAACATTTCAAACATGCTCTCTAACGAGAAAAAAGTGAAATAATACGCAAAAGCCAAGTTTCCCAAATAACACCCTCGGGTAGCGAGGTAGTCGTTGTCAACAATAGATAACAATTCTTAAATTTAACCGTTACCATGCTGATTTGCGTCGCAACTGCATGTGTGTGTGTATATTATACAATTAGCAATGCAGATAGTTCACATGATTGTGTAAAGGTTAATCTTCCCGCTCCCCACATGCAACGTTCGCTACTCATGCAGGGTATGAGAAAATCAACACTGGAATGGTGGGGGAAGGGGAGAAGGGATTTACAAGAAACAATTTATAGCAAATTAGAAGCGCGAGACTTACAGCAAAATGAAATTTCTGCACGTGCTTTGGCGCAGGAGAACATGGAACAAATCAGGGTTAATAATAACTTTCATCATTAAAACACGGTTGCTGTAGTTATGCCTCATTAGTTCAGGGGCAGAGCAGCAGTCTCGTAAACTGAAGGTCGTGAGTTCGAATCTCTCATGAGGCTCTACCAATTTCTTTGTTTTCAGATTTGAAATTTAGAAAATTGTTGGGATTTAGCTTTACTGCACTGAGGTCGCAGAAGTACAAAACGTTGGAAAATTTCATTAACTGCTGCGTTCAAATTATTATTAGCGACAATAAAATTCCAAACTCCTTCATCCAGTTCGCTTTAAAAATATAGCCTCATCAGAGATTGAACTCCGGACCCCTGGTTTACTAGGCCAGTGCTCTATCCCCTGAGCTAATGAGGCATATTGAATATTGGTTTTGCAAACCTTTTCTATGTTGTGAAACCGTGGAATTTTCCCTTGACGTAGTTTTGCTGGATTCAAATTAGTTGTCTTTAGT